AAAATCTAATACAAGAACTTTATCTATATAGTGCTAGACGAGTTTACTTTTTGTAGCATATCCAATTGCTTTATAATAGTTATAGGCTATTATTTGTTATCAAAAAAAAAAAAAATTAGTTAAAATTAAAAATGAGAATTTCAATAATCCTTATACTAGGAAGACTTTGAAAGCGACTAACATATAAGAAAAGAAACGTTTAGAAACTCTGAAAGTGATAATAATTGCAGTGAGGATGATATTCTATTTGGAAGCCCGGGGAACGGAGGATCATCGAACAGCGGCGGCGGCTGACAACATTCGTTAGTGAATAATAACAATAATAATAATAAGAATGAGAAGAAGAAGAAGCATATAATATTTATAGGTACTCATCTGCATGGTTGTACTTGGATTATCATATAACGTTTGCCTTTAATAATGTGCTTCTTCGAAATCCGGCCACCACCAGCAGCAGTTATAATAATATTAATTCCGTTTTTATACGACGACGACGATGACGATGACGACGATATTTCACCGCAGCGGTGGCGTGTAATACGCGCTGGAGACAATTTCGGGGCAGCGATTTAGGAATGCGCGCGTACCGCATTTGTCAAACGCCGCGCTCGTACGTGTGCATAATACGCTCTCAACCCTCTGTCCGGAATTCCGGTCCGCAGTCGTATTACACACGCGGTGTGTACGTATCGTTATGTGTGTGTACACGCGCACAGGTCATTTGTTTCGGAAAACCGTTTTCCACGACGGCGACGATAATAATTGGGTGGCGTAATATTTTCCGATAAGTCGTTCGGAAGGGTTGGGGAGGGGGGTAGACATGGTTTCCGCGTATTCGTCGATCTCGTTTCACAACCCTTCTGAATTTCTTACTTGCACGGTTTCGTCCGAAAAAATATGACCCCATAGTAATATAATATAGGTAAATACCTGACCAACTCCGTCACTCCGGCCGTACCAGATTTAAATGCAATTTGCGTTTTTGATCGTATAATATGCTCCGAAAAATTGTTTCATAGATCAAAGAAATTATTAATCAAACTTTTAATTCGCGAACTTTTATAGTTTCAATAGAAGTTTTTTGAATATTTAATGCATTTTTTAAAAATATTTTGAGTACACTTTGAGTATATTTTTCAAGAATAGATGAAATTTTATGATGTAATTTGCCATAAATAAACTGTCGCTAAATTAATAAAAAAATAATAAAAAAGTCAAAATGTAATATCTTATTTTGTCTTATTATTTGTATTTGTATTACATATTATGTTTTTACCTATGCAGGAGAAGAAAGTGGTGGCTACTCAGGAGTCTAAAAAACAAAATTGTCATTACGTGCTTGCAGATATATGAGTACTTTTATAGTTTTATTGTATAAGACAGTTTGATATAATACAATATAGACAAGTTGTTTTATTTATGTCTTTCAACAATCTCGATAATTCCAAATCGGTTTGATTTGTTCGATAAAATAGGCATTTGTATTCATCATTATTCATCAAATTTAAATTTAAAAACTATTCTTTAGGGAATTATTTTAAATTGTGTTATATTATAAGTGTATTAAAACATATTTTTCAAAGACATTAATTATCTTGTTTTTTTATGTTATTTTACATCCATTTTTAATCATAATGAATCAAATACTACATAATATTCCAATAAACCATTTTATAACATTAGGTGTACTTTTAATATTTATACAAAATAATGTATTCATATCGTATTGTAACGTAAAAATATAAGTATGTAGGTACCTACCACCTAATAGCTGCTACACTGGTATTTTAATAAAATAAATATATTTTTTTTTGTCAGGGAATAGAATTGAATTTTCGTCTGCATCGATAAATGCATCGAAATTTTTATAAAAATATTTTACTACAAAAGGAGCACTCAATACATCACTAGACCTATTCTGATTCCAAGAGCGACATGCGTCTTAACATAATATAACTCTTCTTTTTGTCTTTAATATAACTTTTCTTGCAAGTATTGCCAGGTTATTGTGTCAGTTCTATAAACCTATTTTGAACAATAATTTGTTCGAATTTGTCCATGGATCTACTACAAATTGTTATTTATTGTATCAGTTAGGTTTACAACATTATATGTGACTTAAATGTGACACTTTCACGTGTGTGAAGGTGGCCTTTCAAAGATTAATTGCACGCAATCCTAGTTTTCAAGAATTTGGAAGTGCAATTTATGACAAACATTGAATATTTTAAACAGCCCTTAAATGTTGGTCCAGAAAGTCCAAACCGGTATCGAAACATTCAAAACATTGTAAGAATTCACAAGTCAGTTCCTCGGCGGTCAGGACGAGTTTTCAAAGTCTTAAACCCAGACCTTTAATGTTCCGAATTCCAGGAATGGGAATGCACACTCTTGCTTACCACAGCAAATATTTAGAGATTGGTATAGTAGTCTTTCTGAATAATCGTGTTAATGGGCTGTGAGTGAAGTCTGTCCTGGTATGCAAAAACCTTCGATATCTGCCATAATTTGCATTTCAAAATTTTAAAAATATACTTGCGAATTCCTGAAAACTGTAGCGAAGTTTTTGAATGAAGTCGAAGAGCCAACTTTAGGGTTGTGGTTATTATATTATTATTAAATAATAATAAAAATAATAACAATATTAATATTTTTTAAATATTTAAAATATCTACGTACAAGTTTACTATTTTATAATACGAACATACGCGAATCGACCAAGTACTGCAGACTGTTTCGCATATTATAGATATGTATAAGGCGTCCCTGTACTACTGTAACGTACTTATGTGGTTAGGACTGGGGAATGACTAATTAAATATAAAATATTATGCAGGGAGAATATTGGGACTCTATAAATTGGAATATATGTAATTACAGTACCTTAATAATAACCTAAACCAGAAGCCGATAGATAATAATATAAGGATCTTAAAGATACTTAAATGACCAAGACTCTGTTACATATTCAGTTGTATTGCCTGCTAAAAATCTATATTGATGTCTTAAATATACCTACAGTCGTACTGATAACTGACTGTTCTTACATAGTGTCAACATATTATCATATGACACGGCTCAAGCGGGTTTTCATAACCACCTCCCCCCGTCCCCCCCAAATACTCACTTTGGATAAGCCACTGACGGTGTGTATTGGAAATTATAGGTCTTACAGTTAATCGAGTGTGAATATATAAATATATTGTTGAATAGGTCAGCATAGTTGATCGTGTCGAGTATGTGATGTAGATCTTATATAATATTATAATAATATTATACTGCGTTAGGTGTTAAGTGGCATAAGTGTTGCACAACGATAATAATATATGATACACGTCGAGGTGACGTCGAAAATTATTATGATTATTTTAAGGACCAGTGATGGCATGTGTGCAGCACAAGGATAATAATAATATGAAGGATTATAATACGAACGTGCTCGTCCATATGTATATATCGTATGTGTTTTAATATGACGTTTACAGGATATAGCTGGTACAAACTATTCCACATATCATATAGACGAGTGTAAAACCTACCGTATTACGTATACGGTGGCGTCGAGAATTATTATAATATTATTATACATATCATACGACATGTATACACATACACCCCCGGCCAGCCGCTCTCGCACCCCTTAATTCGTACAAATGACGCAGGCCCCGCGACCCCGAGATGGCAAATTAGATTCCGCGCGCTACACCTAAATATGTATGTTCATATATATGCTCATAAATTTTGCGTCCCGGGTCGGTCTATACATATATGTACGTCGCATTGCCACCGTCTAATTCAATAATAGAATCATAATATTATTATTACTATTATTCGCACTTCCGGTGCGTGGTCTTCGCACCGTCAAAGCTTCGGACCGCCGCTGCGGTAACTACACGAGTGCGAAATGATTCCGCAGCGGACTGCGTCCTCGCCCTGCAACAGACCGACACCGTAATATTATTATTTATCCCAGATTATACGTTTTATATTCAGTGGTGTAAGTGATCGTGGGGGGGGGGGGTGTTATTTTTTTCTCATTTTCGTTTTCCGTCCCCCGCCTCACTTATATCTAGTCCGAAAAAAATGCATCCCCTTGAAAAAATTACACTTAAAAAGTGTGTGCATATTGTAGTGGTTTTTATCAAAACGGTCTTATGCTTTTTATCTTGACTCCTTCAGATTAATAATATAAAATATAAAAATACTATACATTTCATTATTTTTTCAAGATATGATAATATATTAATAAGACGTTAAATATTTATTTGCATTACCATAATTAATGTATCTCTTAATTAAGCTACCTCTAAACATTATTTAAAATTGATTAAATCTGTTTTTTTTTGTTTCAGTTCATTTTATTATTATATAATTTTTATTTTCAAAAGATCTGATAAATAACAGTTTTTTTTTTAATACTTTACCTTCTTGATTTTAAATTAGCATTGTTCATATTATACTATTTTATTGTACTATAGCGAGTGTCAAATATTATTTTTTTCTGTCGTGACAAAAATATTCACACCCACACACACGCGCAAATATATATTACAATATACAAGCAATTCGTTGATATTAATCGAATAATTGTTGTTTTTCTCTAAATTATCTTGTGTTACTTAGATCGCCGATTGCATTTAATCATAATATGTAGGGCGATTGTTTTGATAGCAAACATAATCTTTCTATTCAAGAAATTATACTTTTTGAGATTATTTTTTAGGAGAAATTTGAGATGTGCATGGGAAGTTCAAACATTTTATATTGTTTGACTTTTGCACTAGTATGCACCATAACCGATAATTTTAACCTTTAAACGTGGTAGCTATAATAGACTGCTAAACCTTTAGGATTGTAATTTAAAAGATTTCATAATAATTCAAGATGAATAATTTTATAAAAAATGTTGATGTAGAAAACTAGAAACATAGATTATTAGAAATAGTTAGAAATAGAACAGTTTTTTATTTTATTAATGTGAATTTTAATTTTAATTTTAGATTAGCTGAGTGGAGTAGTAAAGAGAGACCGCGCAGATGTTATATGTTACGTTATATAACTTCACTCGTCCAAACTTTTAAATGCTTATTAATAAAAAATTATTCTGCTTCCGTTCACGAAATAAAAAACAGCTGCCAATCAAAAGTTGATAATGGGTTCACCGACAGATGACATAAGGTTAGAAAAAATAAGGAAAATTGTATTATATCTTAAATTGTACAAAACTTTTTATACTTTTCGAAACGATGAGTTCTCACTATACCAAACAATGACCTGAATTATTGACACAATGATATTATAATATCGTTACTATAATAATATTATTACGTGTATTTATTCTTATGTCACGTGTATCGAATTGATATTTTATTTTTATTAACTTTCTTTACTTCTGATCGCCTTTTCCCAACACTTCTCCCTTCCGCCAGAACGAAGGCTAACAATGCAATCAGAATCCATTCAAAAAAGGGTTGCCAATGACGAATGTATACAACGAGTTTGCGACATTCGTAAGACTCCTGCCATCCAATCATCAGCCTATACTCACCCTATTTATGTGTGCGAACTTATTTCTATAGACATCGGTGTCAGTATCGCATGTCTATAACTTAATATTAAAATATTTTACAATCGAACCGAGGATATCCACACATTCATAAAAATATGAGAATTTTATTTATTTCAGAAACGATTATTATCAATTAATTATTAAAAAGTAAAAAAAAAGTCGAAAGTACGTCATGTAGGTAATACTAGATAATACTACATAAATAAATATTCTTTTAAACATACTTTATTGTTTATGTAATTATTAATTTACCGTACATATATCAGTTGTGATAAATTTTATTTTGATTGTGGAGTGGATATACCTTAATATAACTATTAGAATACTTTCTGACAGAAATATTTTATAGATTTCATTATGGTAACTTAAACTTGAACTTTTAATAAACGTAAATATTATGTACGTTGAATAAACTAATAATACGATTTAGTTGTAATACTTAAGTTGAAAAAATCCAATAAGGGGAAACAGATAAGATTTATTTTTATACCTAGAAAATCTGTGATGCCTATTGGCTGAAGCTTAAACTATTTTATATAAAAAAATATATGTATTAATACTGTAATACTGTACTATTCAAAGTAATATAAGAAATTTAAAATATCGATATTGAACTTTTCTGAAGTAAATTTATTTAAAGGATTTATATGCAAAATGTTTAATCTAGAAAATTGGAGAAGAATCATTAAGCAATTTATTTTCTAAAATGTTATCTTATAAAATTAATAATTATAATACATTATTACACATCAAAATATACTAGAATGATTTTATCATAATTTTTAACAAATAAAATTAATAGTTTTTTTATCATTTCAAGATATATATTAGGTATTATTATTTTATATAGATGCCTAGTTTAAATTTTTGAATGACAATAAAAAAATTTAAAAATCACAAAAATTATAAATGCTCAAAATATAGGTTCACCTGCATGTGATTTATCACGTATGTGATCCATTCAATGTAATCATTGTTTTGCTAGATTGTATTACTAGAAATTTTCATATTAGAAACTTTGTTCAAATTATTTATGTAAAAAATTCTCATAAATTGAGTTTGAAAAGAGTTATTTTTAATGTGAACTTTTGTGAATGATGAGTGAAATAGAAAAAATGATGCATGAGCACATACGTTTGTAGCGAGACCAGCCGATTTCGTGTCTTTAGGTTAGGTTAGGTTAGGTTAGGTTATTCAAAATCTATGTAAACAAGTGTATGTTATTCTTATTTCTAAACAGTGGATAAATGAAATCTGCATATTGAAATAATATTAAAACACAATTATAATTGTATGTTACCTTAAATTGCTTTATATGAAAATTGTGATTTCGACAGTTATACGAAGTATAGTTGCATATTGCGTACGATTAGGAAACGAATAGCATGCATATAACGTAGATACTACATCTGTACAAAACATAATATTATTTGTCAACAATGAAAAATATATACTCCTCGCGTATTGTAAACGGATTCTGTACAGTATTTTACTTACTTTACCATATAGGTAGGGAGGTAATATGATGCATAATTTTGGGGACGATAAAAGCGTGTGATGAAAATATTACGCCATGTGGTTTGTTACCATATGTTTGGTTTGAATTATAATGTGTAGTTTTTTTGTCGTAGGTACCTGGTACACTTTGAAAACGAAGCCCTTTACAAATACAGGTCACGTCCGAAATTCTCTATTGAAACTATTGGACTAAGGAGCTTGCCTACTACCTATACATATACAGGTATGTACGTACTTGTACTTCGTATATTTTGTAATAGCCGCTATGCACATCATAATAATAACAACAATGTGATAGCCGGTAGTCGTATTATAATATTATCATAATACAGTGAATGTGCGGGGATCAGTATGAATGGAGAATACGACGAATAAAATATTACGGCGGTGGTCGAGAGTAGAAAACCGTATAATATGGTATATATAGGTATCTATAGAGGATACAATGAAGGGATTAAATATACATATAACTCGCGTGAGTCTTGACCGCTTTTTTTAAGTTTTAATTATTCGTGAATACGATTATTTTATTTTACGTACCTATATATTATAAACTCGACATGTGAGCGTCTCCTTAGGAGTACCTACGTTTAATAAAACCAAATCCGAGCAAACGGCCGGCTGAATGTGATGAGATAAATGGAAAAAAAAACGTAAATCAGCCGTAGGTGAATAATATAAAAAAGAAAACTCATCGAAAACCGCTGACGCAGTAATACTGACACGTATTCTCCAGACAAAGGTTTAAGCCTTTAAATAACATGCATTATTTAATTTAATTTTTTATTTTTAGCATTAACTACAAAGGTTATTAGATCACGTAAATATTTACATTTTTATAACACTATACTTTTTAATTTTTTTAACATAGGATGTTATGTTGAGGAGGTTTGTAAATGGACCAATTACTTTATACAAATCGCCCGGAATGTTAAATTCATTTCTGGATCCGTCGAAGTTTGGGCAGTAGACGATGGTGTGCTTGATTGAGTCTTTTGTGTTGTATGTTGGGTATAAGGGTGGATCTGTCTTTGCCATGCGGTGCCCATGTGTGAATTTAGAGAGGGCCAATTTTCAGTCGATTGAGATTTACCCAATATATACTATCATTATTACAGTATAATATAAAATTATAATTTATTTAATGGTATCTATATCCTATTTAATATATGTATAATATTTATAATACATCGAAACGGGGCGTATCTGGCTTTCGTTTCCACGAGTCCGACGACTTCGGACGACTATACAATCGACTCCTCCACAGCCTTTACAGGTATACGTGCATTATTATAATATTAAATAGTCATAATGCACAGTATAGTCATAGGCCGGATTATGTGAATCGCTCCAATCGCGTGCGTGCTTAGGTCATGGTGGTGTTAACCTAGTCACTCACCATAAAATCAAGCAGAATATGATAATGGCCTTATTGCGCCTCCCAGACACATATACGATGCAAGTATATTATTATGACGTATAGTATATATTATACAGGTCGGACCACGAGAATAGGGCCACAGATAAAAGTGGTATGTCTGTATATTTTTGTATCCCCACTCCCGTGGCCCACCCTTAGCTGTATGCAAATATATACTTGCACGTACTAATATATAGAATTGTATACTTATATTATAGTGGTGCGTATTTTGTCAACCTTTCGTTGTTTTTGTCATACCTCGTTTTAACGCACCCGGAAGCGTTTTAACGGCAAGTGGCTGGCGCGGCGAGCTAAAGGATTGCGCGACTTCGAGTTTGCCAGCCGAAATTAGGGCTTCCGCGGATTAATGCGCGCTGGGTACATATATATGCGTCGCAGCGGCGGGGACACGAAAGTACGCGCTAAGTACACGACGACGAAATGTTTAAAGACACTCTTAAGCCCGACGAATGGCGTATAAATATTCATACATATATATATATATATATATATACCTACCTATGTATACGCATAGAACGAGGGAGAGAGAGAGGCCGAGCGGTGACGGAAGAGAGACAAAAGCCTGGCGGAAGGATTAGAACCCATCAGCATTTTCACTCTCTCACACACACACACACACACACACACACTTACATATATAATATAAGCATAGCTACTATACTCTCCTGCCCCGTGTATATACAGTATACATATAATAAGTATGTGTGTATATATATATGCGCGATACTTCGTTGCTATATCGTTCGTTCCTTTTCTACGTCGACGTCCCTCCGCATCTGTTGTCGTTGCCGGCTTGTGTTTTAATCGCTCAAAACCCTGCAATGGCTGATAAATTGCGTGCCACCTAAACCCTTTCCACTCCCACTCATCCCCCTCCCCATCGTTCCACTAACCCATTGCCGTACGCAACTCCGTTGGGGTTTTCCTTGGAAATATCACCTATATATATATATATATTAGTTGGGGCCAAATAATAATTATCGTCTGGTTCGACCGTGACAAAAGGGTTTCGTTAAAGAAACAACGGGAAAGATTGTTAATACTTTTTACGCTCCCTCACGAATGCAAATCTAAAAAACGAAATAAAAAAAAATAACGCTACACCGATAATTTATACCGTACTCTCGTGCTTGGTTTAAAGAAAAAAAATAAACAACAAATCCGAACATTAATCAAGACGGTTGAGTTGGCAAACGAATAAAATACACGTTTTTGACGCTCTTCTCCGGTGTACGAATCCAATGACTATTGTAATTTACTCATTTAAGAATATTATAATATGAACCGATAAAATAATTAAGTACGCACGTGGGTCGATACTTAATCGATCGTTATGATATTATTTCGAGTAGGCGTATCAATAAATTAATATGTTTGTTTAGTTGATTTAAAAACTCAAGCGGGAGATACATTTTAACTTTACTTGATGAACTATGAAACGGTAAGTCGTAGACTAGCTTATTAATATTTTTATGACTTTAAGAATTATTATCATCTCACTAAACTAAGTTTGTCGATTATTTTAAAAACCTTGAGTTTAAAAATGTTTTATAGTGTATTTTAAATATTAAAAGTTATTTTCACAAATATTCGGCCATCCAATGATGTACCAAGAAATTATGAGTAAAGTTAACTTAATAATTTGCATTTCACGCTTGTTTAAGTTATTTTTATAATCGTATATAATATACAGTAAATGCAGTAAAAAAAAAAAAAAAATGCTAACTATAAATTAGTTGAAGAATGTATTAGTCCGACGAAGAAACTTGTAAAAATAATAATTTATATAATCGTAATTAAAAAGAGCTACATTTATCTTTCAGTTAATTAAACAAAAATGTTGTGGTTTTTGACCCTTTAATATCTAAAGTGAAGTCGGTTCCTTTAATAAATATTCATTTAATTTTCAAATATATGGTCCGTTTTATTACATATACATTACACAAATTGATTCTGTTAATTCAAGAAAAATAATAGGTATGTATACACCTTTGTTTTACTTAGTTGCAATTAATTCAATTACCTATAAGAGTTTATTGGTATATTGTGCATCGAGTTATCATCTGGCATTATCCAATCTAGTTATCTATTTTTTAATATCATATTGGTAATAATAAATAATTTTAAATATAAAAACAGTAAAACTAATAATGTAAATTTTCTGCGAGAAAATTAATAATAAATAATATTATGATGTACAAAATACATCTGTATAAGGCATAACTGTGTAATTGACATTCAACAGGTGTCTAAGGAGAACAATATTTTTTTTATGAATAACTTTTGCTTGCTATAATGCAGTAACAAACTGTTATTAACAATATTAACAACTTTCTCACTCAGTTAATTTCTAAATACCCAGCTGAAATATTGATTTGGTTACTTGGTCATCGGAACTTTACTTGAATCGTACTAGCTAAGCCCTCTGAGTAGTACAACTGTATACATATAGTATTAATATTAGTTGTATCAAAGTATCCATGTTCTATATTAAAACCCACAATAACGGATAAAAATACAGCAAATTCTAGAACAAACGTACCTATTCTACGACTTTTACATTATTAGCTACAATTGATAATTATTATACAATATTATCTAAAAATCTGATTAGAGCGCCGTCAAACTTTTGATACATTGCAGATTACAATAATTGTGGTATAGGTACTGCATACATTCAACATTGTACATATTTTGAATTAATCTGGTAAAATTGTATTTAACATTTTGAAAATCGTTGCAGTTATTTGTCCATTGAGTACCGATACATTTTCGCTTACTGTATAACCTTCATTGTTTGCGGCTGTGAACGATTTAGGTTATTGCAATAATAATAATACGTTCTATTGAACGCGTCAATACAACAGTATTCCTGTATAATATATTTTATTATAAATTATAATACTAAACTCGTTTAGTATAATCGAACAGGATGTATGTTTCACGACGTGGTAAAATATACTTGTCAGTCGAAAATGTACATTCGACCAAGCTACGTTTTCGATGATAGGTATTGTGTATTTGTGTGTCTTGCAAAGTACAATAATTCGATTTCGTTGAATGACGAGCGGGAGGGGAAAAAACCATTAAATCTTAGCTTGTCAGCGGTAGCACTCTGTACGAATAATATAATATTATACAATAAAGAGCATCGGTTAGCGACGAATACTACTTGGACTTCCTCGCAAAAATTCGGTGCACAAATCAACAAAAAAAAAAATCGTGTTTTTTGATTATTATTATTATAATGCACCACCAGTTCGGTTATTTTCGGTCAGCCTCTGTTCGGACCTCAGAGGGGGGCCCACGATCGCTAGTTACCGGATCGCTACACTGTGCCTACATAATATATATACTCGCATACTGCAATGGCGGTGACTGCTACAATCGCGCGGGCGTATTGTCAACAATGTTCAGTAGGCGTATTCTTTGGAATCCGCGTGAAAGCGACTATAATAATAACAACAATAATATTGATTCGATAGAAAAACACACGCGTATATAAATATAAATAATTCCTATAGAAATAATTATTATTGTCTCGCGCATAATTCAGTGGTGCATTGAAATCCGGCAACAATCGTTGTCAACGACCGCTAAAAATGTAAACGTTTATAATATTGTTATTACTGTTGGTACGAAAAACGCACTCATCACAAGCACCCACACAACGACACACTATCATATTATATGTACCTACCTATACGTATATATAGTATTATATAACAACGCGTATAATGCATACGAGTGCAGTCGTCGTTTCGTCAAAGGTTTGTGCGGTA